CCCCATGCTCTCCCTGCTCCATGTCCTGGGTTGCAGCCCAGAAGGACCTGATGTCCTCAGACCATTGAAACCACTAGTTCTGTCCCCCAGGAGACCTGGCTGTGTGTGTGTGAGTGGTTAAACCTCCTTCGTCCCCCGACCCTTCCCTTCCTGAGGCACAGAGAGACAGGGCAGGATTCACGTGCCCACTGTGGAGGCAGAGAAAAGAGAAAGTGTTTTATATATGATACTTATTTAATATTCCTTTTTAATTAGAAATTAAAACAGTTAATTTAATTAAAGAGTAGGGTTTTTTTTCAGTATTCTTGGTTAATATTTAATTTCAACTATTTATGAAATGTATCTCTGTTCTCTCTCTCTCTCTTATTTGTACTGGTTTTTGTGTATAAAATTCATGTTTCCAATCTCTCCCTGATCTTGGTGACAGTCACTAGCTTGTCCTGAACAGATATTTAATTTTGCTAACACTCAGCTCTGCCCTCCCCTTTCTCCTGGCTCCCCACCACACATTCCTTTGAAATAAGGTTTCAATATACATTTACATACTATATATATATTTGGCAACTTGTGTTTGTATATGTATATATATATATATGTTTATGTATATATGTGATTCTGATAAAATAGACATTGCTATTCTGTTTTTTATATGTAAAAACAAAACAAGAAAAAATAGAGAATTCTACATACTAAATCTCTCTCCTTTTTTAATTTTAATATTTGTTATCATTTATTTATTGGTGCTACTGTTTATCTGTAATAATTGTGGGGGGAAAGATATTAACATCACGTCTTTGTCTCTAGTGCAGTTTTTCGAGATAATCCGTAGTACATATTTATTTTTAAACAACAAAGAAATACAGATATATCTTAAAGCATTTTGTATTAAAGAATTTAATTCTGATTGCAAAGCTCCTCTTGGTTTCTCCTTCTCCATTGGATCCTTGTTCCAGACATCCTCCTGCCCCCTTCCCCTCCTCCCTTGGGGAGCATAGCATTTGTCCTAGGTCCAGGAAACGGGTTCCTGGTGTGTAGGATGTGGGTGATCCACCTTGTGCTGGGGGCCAGAGTCCTTCTCATTCTGTCTGGTCTGGTCCTGGGGGAACCCCTCCATCCCCTGTCTTGATGTAGGAGGAGGGGATTCTGGGAATGGGTGGAGGGGAGATAGCCCTTTAGACAGGAGCCAAGAGCCCTTGCAGTGGATAGTGGTGCCTTTGGGAGTCATGTGATTCAGGCCCTGTCCCTTGGTCAAGGAAGGAACTGACCATGTCTCCAAGCTTGCTGCCTAGGAGACAGGAGAGGCCTGTGTTTGTTTGGCTGTGGGGTCTTGGCTGCAACAGGCAGAGAGTGGAAAGGGAGTGATGCTGGGGGGCTGTGACCCCAGGTGTGACTTAGTTATACATAGTGAGTCTTGGAGTTCCTTGAAGTGAAAGACAGATCCACAGCTCTGGTTTCCACTGACAGGACTCCTTGCCCGACCTTGCTGCCTAAGTCCTTCTTTCTTGTTCTGGTCCTGTGGAAGGTGAGCCTGACTGTGTCTTTGGCATTGATGAGCAATGCTTCCAAATCTACTTCCTCTAGCCTCTCACTGATTCTTTCAAACCACACATGTGGTTTGAAGAAATACTGGGCTAGCCATTGTGCTGTGGCGCAGGATGCTGTTATGAATGAGACACAATTCCACCCTTCAAGGATCTGGTGAGGGTGAGTGGGTGGGAAGACAGAATTACAAATCCATGAATAGAAAAATACATAAAATGTGATGGGAGCCACTGATCTAGCTTGGGGTGGGAGTTTATTGGAGGTGGTGGATGGAGGGGTCTTCTCATGACATTACGTTTAGGCTGCCCCTTAAAGGACGGGTAGAAGACAGGCAGAACAGGGAGAGTGGGGGCACTGAGGGCATCCCAGGCAGAGGGGAGAGGGTGAGCAAAGGTGTGGAGGGGGGGCTTGGGCAGGGAGTAAGTGAGGGGATTGAGGCTAGAGAGAGAGGCAGGGGTGCGCTTGCTTGGGGGGAGCCTGCAGCGTTGTGCCAGCAGCCTGAGGCCTGTCAGGGAGGAGCAGCTGCTGAGGGGCTTTCCACAGGGGGCATCCCAGTCAGATACGCTTTTCGATGGATGCCTGGCAACATGGAAGAGGCCCTGAGGGTGGTGAGGCGACTTAGGTGACTGGCAGTGAGGGCAGAGTGGTCTACGCTGGGAGGGGGACAGGAGGCAAAGTCTCTTGCTCTCAGAGGTTTGGGGCTAGTTAGTGCTCCTGTCCCCATCACTCACCATGTGCTGGCTCCCATGCTGGTTAACACCGAGTCCGCACAACATTCCTGTGAGGCAGGGCTCTTGTCATGCTGCCTGGATTTCTGCTGGAGCCTCCAAACTGGCCTCCTGGACTCTCTTTTGGCCTCCCTTTAGTTGATTTTCACAAAACAGGCACAGTGAGCCTGTTAAAACGTGAGCCCAATCATGTCACCTTTGGCTTAAAACCCTCTAGAGACTGTTTTACTCAGAGAAAAAGCCAAATGGCCTTAAAAGGTTCTGCACCGTCTGGGCTGCCTCTGCCTCCATGATTAGTCAGTGATTTCTGACCCCCCTTGGTCACTCAGCTCCAGCCTCACTGGCTTCTCTGTTCCTCAAACACAGTGGGCATGCTCCCTCCTCAGGACCTTTGCACTGGCTGTCCCCTCTTCTGGAGCGCTTTTCGCTACAACATGGCATGCGTGGCTCCCTTACCTGCAAGTCTTGCCACCTTCTCAGTGAGATTTACCTTGACTGCAGCATTGATCCCCTACCCTGTTCCCATTCTGCACTCGGGCTTCTCCTTTTCACAATCCTGCCTTCTTTCCCATGGCACATGCCAGAAATCACTGAATAATCAGGGAGGCAGAGGCAGCCCAGATGGTGCAGGACCTTTTAAAGCCATTTGGCTTTTTCTAACATACTCTAGAATAGTGCTATTCAATAGAAATGTAATGTAAGCCACATATGTAACTTAAAATTTTCTAGGAGCCAGATTTGAAAAGGTACAAAGGAACAGGTGAAATTAATTTAAATAATATATTTTATTTAACACCAACATATCTAAAATATGTCAACATCTGATCAATATAAAAATTGTTAATAAGGGATTTTACTTTTTTGGGGTACTAAACCTTTGAATCTGGTGAGTATTTTACACTTATCACATATCTCAATTGGTTGTAGCAATGTTTCAAGTGCTCAATATACACATGCAGCTAGTGGCTACCGCTTTGAACAGTGTAGCTCTAAAATGTACTCGGCCTTTCATCGGTCTTCCCCCACTGGAATGCAAACTCTGTGAGGGCAGAGATTTTTGTCTGTTTTGTTCATTGTAGCCCTAGCTCCTAGAATAGGGCCTGGAGCATAGTAGTATATGCTCAATATACATTTGTTAAATGACTGACATTGTTGAAACTGAGGCTTGGAGACTGGAGGTTTCATCCCAGGACAATGGAGATGGGTATGGGGTTTCTACGGAGATGCCAGGAGTGATTGGTGGAGGGCTTGCTGGACAGGTGGAGACTTGAGCGGGGCTTGGCTAGGAGAAATGAACCCAGAGACAGCCAGTAGGGATTAGGAGCAGACGCCTCTTCGTAGGTGCTGGGTGCTGTCTCCTCCTTTTAGCCACCCTGGAGATCTGTGTTACTGCCTGGCAGATAGGAAGCAGGAGGCTCAGAGAGGGTAAATAGCTTGCCTGAATTTACACACAGCCAGTAAATGGCCAAGCCGGAATTTAAACCAGCTTTCCTGACTCCAGTGCTAGTCCTCTTCCCACTACACCGCAGCTGCCCGAGGCTAAGGCAGGATATCAACAAATAAAAATGAGTCGTCTAGACTGAATACAAACAGGCAGAAGAAAAGTGGGACGGGGGAGGATGTAGCCATGGCCAGACCCAGGGCTGAAATCCAGACTTCCCGAAGCGTGGTAAGGCGAGGCAAGGCAGGAGATGTCTCCAGGGGCTGGAGGTCGTCAGTGGAAGATTGGAAACCTAAGCACGCGAGAGATTGCAACACGTAGCCTTGGACAAGAGTAACAGTCTTGAAATAGACCATGGAGCAAAGAAGGAGAAAATGGAAAAGCTGCATCCCCAGTTGTATAAGACCTGCTCAGACACACCCCTGGAGCCCTTCCCAAGGAGCTCTCAGGGCCCAGAGAAGACCTAACCAAGTCCCAAGGCCTACCCTGCCTTCCCAGCTCATCTCCAGACTGTGGGACTCACACTGCAAGGTCTGGCTGCTGTTTTCCCTGGAGATACATATCGCTTCTTCTCAACTACGTTCTGCCTAGCCTGAGACCATTTCCCTTTTCCCAAAGGAGCTACCACCCTAGTCACAGCCCTCAAAGGCCTTTAGAGTCCCTGATTCTCTGGGGAGCCTGTCTGCCCACTTTCCTCCCTCCTACAATTGCTACTGAAAGAGGGTGGGTGGACCCACATAGAACTGTGATTCTGGTCAGTTTTGTGTGTCAGGACCATTGTGGTGGCCTGTGTGCAAACATGGCTGCCAACACTTCTTCCCATCCTGGTGCCCACATGCTGCTCCTCCCCAAAAGAAGTAGAGTCTATGTTTCCTCCTTATGAATCTGGGCTGGCCTTATGACTTGCTTTCACTAAGAACGAGG